TTTCTGGATATAATTACCTAAAAATAGATTTACTTTCCACTTACTTCATTTTTCATTTTAACATACACCATCATAAGGAGGATTTATACCACTTTGATAATATTCTTTAAATAATCTGTACTTAAAGATGAGAGCTAAAAATCCATTACCCTTTACTATCACTGGATACCCCAAGAAAATAATGTTAAAGGAATTTTTAAGTATAAAGCCACAACAAAAAAATAAGAAAGGAGATGACAGCAATAAAGTTTTAGAATTTCTGTAGCAGATGTCTTCAATATTCTAAGTGAATGTTATTTCTGACCTAGAATTCTATATCTAGCCAAACTATCAACCAAGTATGAGGGTAGGATGGAAACCATTTTTAAACATGTAAGATCTCAAATTTATCTACCGTGAACTGTCAGTAATCTACTGGATCATGTGCCTGCTAAAGCAAGAAAAGAAGTTTAGGAAGAAGACAACACAGGATCCAGAAATTATGGGATCCAACACAAGAGAGAGGTGGAAAGGAATGCCCAAAAGGATTGTGACATGAGATTCCCAGATGGTTGTTGTGAACAATGACAGGAAATTAAACAATACAAACTGGAAGGGTTTAGAAAGCCTTGTGAAAGACTATCCGAAGTGTTTACACAAAGAGGAAATTTACACATTCAGGGAAACATTTGGGGATAATTTACTGTTTTATATTTAGAAAACTAAGAAAATTTTAAAAAATAAATAAATATGAGACAATTGCAAAAAGGATCATGGGAGATAGTGGTTAAGAGTGTAGGTTCAACTAGACTCTTTGGGTTCAAATCCTGGCTTTGCCACATATACCTTCTCCTCAAGTGTAAAACAGAGGTAACAGTACCTATCTCATAATGTTACATTGAGAAATACATGAATAATATATGGAAATCTCTAAAGACAATGTTTATCCACACACTACTATGCTCAACACATAGTATAGGCCAGGCGCAGCGACTCATGCCTATAATCCTAGCACTCTGGGAGGCCAAAGCGGGAGGGTTGCTTGAGGTCAGGAGTTCAAGACCAGCCTGAGCAAGGAGCGAGATCCTGTCTCTACTAAAAATAGAAAAAATTAGCTGGGTCTGGTGGTGCACACCTGTAGTTCCAGGTACTCAGGAGGCTGAGGCAAGAGGATTGCTTGAGCCCAGAAGTTTGAGGTTTGTGTGAACTAGGCTGATGCCCCGGCACTCTAGTCCCAGTGACAGAGAAAGGCACTGTCTCAAAAAAAAAAAAAAAAAAAAATACATGGTAATAATTGCAGTATGTTCTATCACTTAACTATACATAGCATGTATATAGTAAAAATAATATAAGACCAAATGTTCAACAATAATACTGAGGCAGAAGGATGAAGGAATGAGATGAGCACATGTTTATGGTGAGTGGAAAGAGTGTGTATGGAAGGAAAGATATTCACAATATCCATTATTTGATAATAGGTAAAAGCAAAAATCCCAGAATAGTAATAGAAGCATACTGCTTAGAAGAACAAATAAGAATACTAGAAAAATTAGCCTAATGAATTAAAAATGATTGCCCTTTGAATGAAGGTATGGGTAGAAAGCAGGCACAGTTATTTTTCACAATCCTTACAGAAAAAGTATTCGACTCCTTAAACTCTGTGCATGAATACAGATTTTAAAAGCTAAAATCACACTTAAATCAAAAAAGCCATCTGTATGTAATGCCAAATAGAAAGTGATTTACCAAGCAGTACATAAAAGAGAATGTACTTTGCTACCTGTGGAGACTGATACATATAAATAACCATATACTTCCAGGGATAGCAATTAAGTTCTTTCAATGAATATTTCTTGCGCATGTCATTTGAGAAAACATCTGACCCTAACTGTCATCCTTCTGCATTTGGCAGGACTACCCCTGGCTCTCTATGTCACTGCAACAGGTGAATAACTAAGAAAAAAGTATGTCTGTGGACACTTGTTTATAAAGGCATTCAGGGTCCTGGAGCTAGGCTGACAGATGCTCTTCCAGAAGGTTAATGAGATAAAGGTTCTTCCAGCTGGCCCTTAAGCAGAGATTACACCTGAGGGGAAGATAAGCAGATTATTCCGGAAGCAGACACTGCTGCATGTTCTTCATAAATTAGCACCTTCATAAAGGTAGACCAAGAAGGTTATCATCAATAAGCTGGCATCAATATTTAATTATTTTTCATAGTTCTGTCATTTTTTTATATATGCGATTTGAGGTTGTTTTGTGATTGCTGTCAGAATTACCAATGCACAAAAGCCAAAATGTATTTGGAAAGTAGAAGGGCTATTTTTGTCTTTTGGATTTTTCTCCAAGTTCAGGGAACCAAAGGTAAGTTATTTAAATATTTATTTTTAAATTCCTTATCTATAAAATCTATTTGTAGAAGTGAATATTCAGAATCAAAAGGTCATGACTTTATCTCAGGGGGCTGGTATATATGGTAGGCCCTTAATAAATACTGATTGGTTAATTGAATGAATGATTGATTATCAGAAATGGTTGCACTTGAAGGAAAAAACAGTTTCTGGAAAAGATTGTAATAAAGTTTTCTTCATGTTTTGTTACCTATAGATGATATAGTGGATAAAGCAAAAGTTCACTTACCTTTTCTTTCAACTATCAATTATATATAAATGTTTACATTTATAAAAACATTTAATTAGAAACAAATGGTGTGATTTCAGTATATTCTGAGCTCAATCTGATAAAGTAAACCAATTTATCTATTTCATAAAGTTAACTAGACAATTCAGCTTTTTTTGTATAATTATGTTAACTAATTTAACTATTTTTTCTGTTTTTATATATTTCAGCCATTACACACAGTTACGAATAACATACTTATATATGGCAAGTTAAATGAAATAAGCTCACCAAAAAACAATTTGTCATTTGCTTATTTCTATGAAACAATGTGCTATAATTGCATTTTAAAAATCCTAATATGCTACTTGTTTGGGCCTTTTTATTTCATAAGAATCTCAGATATGTGAATATATGTTAACCTTCAGTTAGTGAGGTCTACATTAATTAGAATTTAGGAAGCTCTGCCAGACTGCTTTCTTACTTGTGACTAATTAACCGTCATGAATATATTTAGAAAATGAGTATATGTAGAAAATGGTTAGGGGAGAGTTCAGTTCAATACAACTAGCTGTTAAGCATAACAATTGGGTATTTAGCTAAATTTAGTTTCTTTTTAAAAAATTTATAAATCTAAAAAATCAAAGAAATGAAAAAATTTCCAGTAATACTTCCATCCAAACACAACCTATGGTAGCACCTTCAGATATTTCCTTCTAGGTATACTTGTTTTTACATGATTGCAGCTCTACCACACATACAATTTTAAATCAGGCTTTGAGTATTTCTAATACAGCATATGAATGTTCTACATTGACATCCAATTTTGACAAGCATCATTTGATGGGCTGCATAATATTTCACTCAGTAGATGTATCAAGATTTGCTTTACCTAAATATTCAACAAAAGAGAACTAATTATTTCTAATTATTTTGTTATTGCAAATAACATTGCTATGAATAACTTTGTGCATAAGTCTTTCTCTGTATTTAAGACTCAGAATAAATTCACTAGCATAAAATTATTAGATCAAAGCACTCCAAATAGTTTTATGGTATTTGGTTTATATTGTCAAATTGCTTCTCAAAAGTTTTCCTAGGCCCTTAGGTGAGTTTTCCCAGTTGATTCCAGAGAATGCTTTCCATGTCTCTAATATAGTGATAGATATTAAATATAAAAAGATTCGAAGAAATGCCAATATTTCAAAAGATTTCCTTTAAGCTTTGCAGATGTGTGTAGTTTTTTCATAGACACATACAGGTGAAGTGGCTTTGATTTCAAAAGATTCATTAAATAAATTTGTTTCAGCACAACAAAAGATAGTTTCAAGAGTTTCAAAAAACAATTACTTCATCAAGACACCAAATCTCCCTTCTTTGGGATTCGTAATGGGAATACCAGTTGCATCTGATTTGCATAGCATGTCTTTATGCTCTTACTTTCCAATTTACATAAATAATTTTATTTAATTGCTTGTGACATTCAATGTGTAGGAAAAAGAGAAAAGAGAAAATCTACCCTTGGCAAGTCCTAAAATGGAAATAGTGCTTATCTTAGTATGTGCCTTTTGGTTATCCTAAATGAAACCTTTTACTAAGTTATTATTAGTTCGCCAAGGCAGGATAATTATTTTAGTTGCTGTGAAATGTCAGGAAATTTGCATTAGAAGACGCTCCACTTCTTGCTAATCTTTTACTACTGGGGTATGCTCTCATTTCATAAAATTACCCAGGAAGGTATTTTCCTTCACTGTGGCTCCATTAACAGAGAACGTGACTTCATTTGTACATCTGAGGTAGGTGCCCAATGGCAGTCACATTAACTGCAGCTCCTATGCTTTGTTCGTCTGTGCTAGTCTCAAAATACTGTAATTCAAAAGGTCCAAGGCAGATTATTTTATTCAATTATATCTGAGAAGATGTCTCTAAAATCGAAGCTATGTAAATTGAAAATACTTTGTGTCCAAATGAACAAACTATACGGCACACCTGAAACCATTTATTAGATTATATACTTGCTTTAAAAATAAAAGCAACTGCTGCCTTGTGGCCCCTTTGTGCTTGTATCTCTGATCACGCTAAAGGACTATTATATGTGTGAGCTAATTAGACAGGGCTGACATGACCTACTGCTTTTTTGGCCATTTCTGTCAATTATGAGAGTGCAACCACCTTGAACAGCGACTGTTTTGCATGCTAATTACCTCTGGAAATTCAGATCCTATATACTTTTGGCGCCACAATCATTTTCACAGATTTTATGCTATTTTAATCCATCTGAGGCAACAAAGTTTGTTTTTCAAAATAGTCTCTAGGCTTACATCATAATTCAGTATATATGTTGTAACAATCATAAAAAGTGTCCTGACCTCATCACAATGTTGTGAAATATCAGACTCAGGGATAACTGAGGTCTTCGTCTACTCCATTTCTTCTTGCTGAAGGGTAGGAAAGACACTTCTGCAGTTGTGGGGAAGGAAATTGTGTCAACTCTAAGAATAACACAAAACAGTTTGTCGAAAGGTAGGAAAGCCTGTTACCAAGATGTGAGTTTTAACCTCCCAAAGTGGACAGTTTTCAGCAACCACTGGGCCTGAGCTCACTGTCTGGGATATTTTCATCAAAGGATAGAATTTCAGCCTTATAAAACAAAACCACCAAGCAGATGAAACCATTTTAACAAGGGAGGAGAGTGCACCCTTTGCTCTAAATCCAAGGCAACCCACGTGCCCCAGCTTATCTTAGAACGAGTTTATGAGGTAACTGGCATATCCCTGGTAATAAGAATTCATATATGGTAATGCTGCTGTCAAGCGCTGAACTACAGCATGCGCGGCTACAATTATTTATGGAGAATGTTCTCCCACTACTGCCTCTCTCTTCCGGCCATAGTGAATGTTAGAAGACGATGAAAGAGCCATACAAAACAGTAATGCTGCTTCTAAGCATATGGTTGTATTCAGTAGATAAATATTTTCTCATTTACAGTCAGTCATTCTTGAGGAAACAATGTCTTTCTGTGTGCCTTCGTGAAGTCATCTTAATTCATTCCAACTTCATTTTCTTCATTCAGGCTTCTATTTACATAATTGCCCCCAGGAGAAAAGGGAAACTAAACCAAAAGGAATTTTGTGGGGGAAAAAATCAGGACTTTGAAATTAATGAAAAGTCTGTGCTTCAGAAATACTTTAACTCTGCAGCCCTCAGTCCCCGGTCCTCGTTCTGTTAGGGACCAGGTGGCAGAGCTCCACCATACCACCTGCCTTGCCCCATCGGTAGAAAAATTGTCTTTCATGAAACTGGTCTCTGGTGCCAAAAGGTTGAGGATCACTGCATAACTCCATATAGAAAATAACACGTGTAGAGCTAATTTGTTTGTCTTAAAGTTCCTGCTGCATTTATAAACAAACAAAAGTTGCATTTAATTAAGCTGAACTATGAAACACAATGACACTATTATTAATCCATTGTACTCAGATCAGTTCAGACTTGATCAAAACACATTGCAGACAGTAATTATGTTAATAATCACTTAGCTTAATTTTTTTTTTATAAAAGCTCAAGTTAATTTGTGCTCATTTGTGGTTGGGAGTCTAAGGCAGAGAGTGCTAAGGAATATTCCTAAAATCATTTGAGGTGAGATGTGGAGCTGTATCCATTTTTATCTCACATCTACTTAATCTAATCGGTCCAATATAATATGATGAGTGGAATTAATATGGCTTTTACTGTTAATTCAAAAGCCACCTTTCTTCTGCTAACACCACCAGATGTTTGCTGGTTCTGAGCCATGTCTAATATCTATTTTCATGACTGATCTCAGAATAGCTGTTCATATCCTTCAGCTCTACCTTAGAAATGGAAGCACCTAACTTAGGACTTCTATTATTCATTGAGAAAGAGGTTTGATGTTTTGAACTCCTCAAAGAACTGGAGTTGTTTATTCATGGTGTCATTTAAAATCCCCACTACAAAAGCCTAAGTTGAGTAGTAAGTGACTTATTCCACATTGTGTCATGTATCCAAAGGCAGTATCTTGCTAATGGGTGTTATTAGATCCAATGGGAAAGCCTCTTTTAAACCAAAACCACCTCCCACCTGATCAAAACACTGAAATTTCACCTCCATGTTTGTAGTAGTTTCAGCCTCTGGAGATAACAAATTCTGAAACTCCCCTTGTTAATGATTTCTCTGCCTTCCTTCTATTGGATCTGATGTTACTCTCATCAAAACATCCCAGGCCCCCAGCCTCACTGAGGTTTTCCAATTCTTCAGCCTGTCCAGGCCTCAGCGTGCTGCCCGTTATCCTAGGTCCCATAGCCCACTGCTGACCAGCTCTCAACAGTCTCCTGGTAATATAACAGAAATTTTACTCCTTGGCCTCTGCCACATCTGCTTTATTAATCCCACTCTGGGAAAACTTAGCTTTCACTTTTCCTACTCTCATTCCTGAACTGCCAAGTGTTATTAGAGAAACCCAAATAAACAGAGTGCTTTCATGAAACAAATCCATGCACTGTGACCTTAGCTGGGCCCTGCAAGCTATCCCGCAGTCATACTCATCTCTGACTCCCTCACCTAGTCCCCTAGTCCTATTTCCAAACCTTCCCTCTCACCTTGAGCCTATAGCCTCATTTCCCCCCATTCACCAAAGCAAAAGGTTCTCAGGTTTGCATAGAACATCATTCCTCACAGAACAGCTCTGTCATTTACTATGTGACCTTGGCAAATTGCTCAATCTCAAACATCACTCACTCTTGTGGTTTCCTTATCTGTAAAATAAAAATAATAATAGCAGTGTCTGCCTCACAGAGTAAAGCTTTTGGTGAGGCATCTGCTACAAAAATGCTCAATAACTGCTAAAATGGCTATGACAGCTACCATTGTTGCTATTATCACCTCCTCCTACTTACTGAGAAGATTGAAATCATTTGACCTCATTTGACATCTCTTTTTTCCACTTTAAAGTTTTCTCTGAATTTATCTAGACTCTTCTTATTCTCTTTTGTTTCAGAAGATAAAATGATTTCATGTCTTTGTTAATGTTATTTCTACCTACCTATGACTTTAACTCCATTTACAACCAATTTCCCATAAGACCTTCCCCAAATGAAAAGGCAGCCTATGGATTGGAGGAAAATATTTGCAAAGCATATATCTCATAAGGGAAAAATATCCAAAATATTAAAAGAACTCACACAACTCAGTAGCAAAAAAAAAAAAATAGCAAAGCGCACACACACACACACACACACACACACACACAGATCAGTTTGAAAACAGACAAGGGACTTAAGTAGACATTTTTTCCAAAGAAGACATAAAAATGGCCAATGGGTATGAAAAGGTGCTCTCATCATCAGGGAAATGTAAATCAAAACCACAATGAACTATCACCTCACACCTGTTAGGATGGCAGTTATTGAAAAGACAAGAGATAAGTGTTAGCAAAGGTATGGAGAAAAGGGTACCCCTTGTACACTGTTGGTGGTACAGCCATTATAGAGAACAGGATGAAAGTTCCTCAAAAAATTAAAAATATAATTACATATCCCACAATCCCTGTCCAGCAATTCCTCTGCTGGGTATATACTCAAAGGAAATGAAATCAACACCTCATAAAGATATCTGTGTTTCCATGCTTATTGCAGCATTATTCACAATAACCAAGATATGGAAACAACCCAAGTATCTATCAACTGTTTTTACATTTCATCATTAAGGGTGATGCTTATTTCATCTTTTTTTATTGTTTTGTTCTTGCAAATGCTCTTTACCACATAAAGTTCCTTTCTAATTCTAATTTACTAAGAGTTTTTAATTATAAATATAGAAATTTATTGTTTCTTCTATATCTGTTAAGATTCCCAAATTTTTCCTCCTTTAATTTATTAATATGATAAATTACCTTAGTCAATTTTCAAATATTAAACCAACCTTACATTCCTGAGATAAATCCAGTTTGGTCATACATTGTTTATATATTGCTGGATTCTATGTGCTAATATGTTATTTCAAATTGTTACACTCATATTTATAAGTGAGCTTGGACTATAAAATTTTTTCTCATACTTATTTTGTCAGATTTTGTAAGAGTTTGTATTAAAATGAAATTATCTTTTTCTTGAATGTCTGGTAGAACCCATTGTTAAAGCTAGAGAAAGATCATTGTAAAAACATATTTGACCTCTCAATTTTTTTTAAAGTTATAATAATTATCCTATGTCTTTAGTTATGATAAGTTGTATATTTCTAGAAATTTATTCATTTCATATGAAATTTCAAATTTATTGACAAAACATTATTCATAATATCTTATCTTTTTTATGTTTATAGAAAATTTGTAAAAAGCATAATGTCCAATTCTGATATTGGTTAATTTTGTCTTCTTTGTTTGATCAGTCCCACCTGTTTGTTTGCTTGTTTGTTTTTGTTATTAATATTTTCAAAGGAAAAGTGGCTTTTATATTTCTTTCTTTTTCACTTATTTTATGATCTCTTTTATATTTTATTACTCTCTGTTCTTATCTTTGTTATTTTTTCCTTGTATTTTCTTTGGGCTTATTTTGTTTTTTTTTATGCTAACCTCTTGGTTAGATGCATAGGTCATTAATATGTAGCTCCTTTCTTTTTATATGATAGGTATCTTAATGATACAATTTTACTTTTAGGAACTGCTGTAGCTTCATTCCACAAGTTTTATTATGTAGCAATTTTATCATTTAATAAAAATATTTTTAATAACATATTATTCTTCTTTAACTTATGGTTATTTGGAAGGATGTTTTTTTAATTTTCAAATATATGAAGATTTTCCCACTGGTTTTTAAACTGATGTCTAGCTTTCTTCCCTGTTAGTCTGAGAACATAATGTACATAGATAGCATCAGTCCTTTTACATTTATCCAGGTTTGCATTTTAGTCCAGCATTTTTCCCTGTGCTTGAAAAGAAGGTATATCAAATTTGACTGGGTCCTATATTGTTATTTGCTAAATCAGGCAGTCCTATTCCCCCCATGAATCTCAAAAGAGAGTGGCACTAGATCATAATAACAGCTAATGATGTGCCAAATCTGCAAAATGCTTAACATCTATTTTATCATTTAATTTTTGAAACACAACAAAACTACATAATAGACACGCACTAATCAAAAATTATGGTGTTGGAATTATTACTCTCTCTTTTTCGGGTTAAAAACCAGAGCATATGAGAATTAATTATTTGCCCAAATTCAGGAATTAACTCGGGGAGTGGCAGAGCAATCTTGCTATAACCTCAGTGCCCTAGGCACCCAGTATGAAGCTTACTTTACTTTTCTGCAGGAACTGTGATAGGTTTTATGCATCAGAAAGTTAACAAGCAGGGTTGAACAGCTGTTTCTGCTTAATCTGTTCCAATTCTGTTCTCCTTGAGTAGTTAGAATATCATTCTTTTGTGGCAATATATGAAACAGCAATGCTATGTACGTGCAATTCTCTTTACTCAGAACTCCCAAGACACTTCATGATCAGGTTTATATGAG